GCCTGGGGAGGGTGGGGTTTGGGGAGAAGAATAAGAAGAGGAGGAGGAGAAGGAGAGGTTGGATTTATACCCTGCCTTTCTCTCGGAGACTGAGCAGCTAACCAACTCCTTTCCCTTACCCTCCCCAGAACAGACACCCTGTGCGGTAGGTGGGGCTCAGAGCTGTTCTTTCGAGAAATGCTCGTGAAAGAACAGCTCTGAGAGAACTTGTGACTGACCCAAGGTCACCCCAGCAGCTGCAGGTGGAGGAGTGGGGAATCAAACCCAGTTCTCCCAGATTAGAGCCTGTGACACGCTTCTTCTGTGGGCTTCGGGGGAACCCACCAGTGGCCATGGTGCCTGGCTTCCCTGCGAGGTAGACGACACTGGAAGTCGGAGGTGGACCCAAAAATGGAGCTGCGGAAGGACCTCAGACTGGCAGGGGAGGGGTTAACAGCCCCCCTCAAGTCCCTCTGCCTCGTGCGCTGGATAGTGCTCCCTTTCTCTCTTTATCCTTCACCTTCGCAGTTTCGCTCCCTTGCATGCTGTTCCTCCCCGGTCTCTCTGAAGAGCTCCTCTTTTATTTCCCCCTTCCACTCCTGGCGCCGCCCCTCGTCCCCGCCTCCCTTCCTCCCGACCTGGCCCCGCCCGCTCTTATATACATGGACGCTCTCCAGGCATCTGGGGCGTGGTCGCAAGTGAGCCGGTGCCGCCACCTGGACGTTTCACCATGACGCGGCGCTTGCTGTGAGGGTCTTGCCCTGCCGGCGTTGTGACCTCCATCCAAACAACTGGGCGTTGAGCTGCTGTGCCGTGTCTTCGGGGGCTGCAGTGCCATCGCTTCTCCGTTCCTCTGCTGCCGTTGGGGTGAGTCGGGGCGTGGGTGCGTCTCCGGGGTTGGGGGGTGGGTGCGGGGGGTCCCGTCCCGGGACTGGGGAACCGGGACAGAGCCCGCGCTCCTAACCACTACGCCAAACTGAAGGATCTCAGCAGGGCAGAATGTCATAGACTCCACCCTCCAAAGCAGCCATTTTCTCCAGAGGAACTGATCTTGGTCATCTGGAGATCAAGTGCAATAGTGGAAGCTCTCCCAGTGCCACCTAGAGGCTGGCGACCCCAAGCCTTCCACTTAAGTGGGGCACTGCTGCAGAGAAGCTCTGATTTCAAGGACAGAGGGGTGTAACATTGCCCAGAGGCCTACAAGCGGCTATGGAGGATTCAGAACACTCCATGGCTGGTCCTTTCCTGTGCCCAGTTAGCTGCATGGGGTGTGAGGTGTGGGTTCTGGTCCAGCCACCAAAAGATTCGCTTTGCCTTATCCCCACCCTTGATGGAAATGAAACAGCTGGAGTCTGTTCCCCACTGTTGGAAGTGAAGGACTTTGTGGTGTCCCTTAGCCTCGGGGACACCTACCACTACACTAGTGTAGCTGTTAAGAGCTGCGGACTCTAATCTGGAGAACTAAGTTTGATTCCCCAGTCCTTCACATGCAGCCAGCTGGGTGACTTTGGGTCAGTCACAAGTTCTCTCAGAGCTCTCTCAGCCCCACCTACCTCACAGGGTGTTTGTTGTGGGGAGGGGAGGGGAAGGGAAAGGAGATTGTAAGCTGCTCTGAGACTCCTTCAGGTAGTGAAGGGCAGTGTGCTGTCTTGGCTGGCTGCCACAGAGACCACACACTGGAAGCTTGTAACCACAGTCCAGAATCAAGGTCAGTCAGAGTCGAAAGTCAAAGAGCCAGGAGGTCAAGTCAAGGTTGCAAGGACAAGGAGCGGCTGCTACACACATGCAGGAACAGGTCTGAGTGAGCAAAGTTGCTGCCAGTTGAACCAGGTGCACTGAGTGCTTTTGAGCAGGTCCTTCCTTCCCTGGGGTTGAGTCTGCAAAGGCTTACAGTTCTTCCCCCTGCCTCTGCAGGAGCTGGAGTCTGGCACTCCTTCGCACCGGCATAGTCAGCCTCTGGCGGGGAGTCTGGCCTCAGGGTGTCTGCAACTGGGGGTGCTGCTGGGCCAGGCTCAGGACCGGCCTCTCCTTCTGGCTGCACCTCCTGTGCAGCTGCTGGGGACTCTTCCTCCTCCTCAGGTACTGTTGGGGGTTCTTCTTCTGGGCTGACTCCAGAGGAGGCTGGGCTGCTCCCTGCCTCTTCCTCCTCTGAGGAGTAGTCAGCCTCAGCAGACCTAGGACCCACGACAGGCGGGGTATAAATCCAATCTCCTCCTCCTCCTTCCATGAACCTCTGTTTGTTGAGGCCTCTGCTAGGAGAACTCCCTGACCCCTTCCATCACAAATTGTCCATCTTGTCATAATGAGAACCAGTGTGCTGTAGTGGTTCAAGTGTCAGACTAGGGTCCGGGAGAAGCAGACTCGAATCCCCATTTGTGCCACGGAAGCTTGCTGGGTGATCTTGGGCCAGTCACTCTGTCAGCCTAACCTACCTCACAACGTGGTTGTCAGGATAAAATGGAGGAGAGGATAACGATATAAGCCGCTTGGGGTTCCCACTGGGGTTAAAGGAAGGGTATAAAAGAAATAAATACATAAATGCTGCTTTTGCTGTCTGCTGCTGTCTTGAGCACATCAGCCTGGCAGGTGGGAACTGTGGGTAATCCCTACGCAGTGAATCCAGCGCAGCAGTGTTTTACGGACTGCCTGCATTTGCTGACATCTTTCAAAGGGAGCCACTGCTGCACACTGTCAAGGAATCTGGGGTATATTTTAGGACACAGACCCAATGTAGGGGCCACTGGCTCGGTCTGCCAAGCCACAGGTCAGCCTGGAAACAGAGAGAGACAGATAGACAGACAGACACCTCTAGAATGCACTCTAAACCTGCATGAAATTGTGAACTGATAAGGAAGACGAACACTTGCGGTAAGTTGTCTTTCAAGAAAGACAGTCTTCCAATCCTGATCCATTGGTTGGACTGTAATGTATTCAGCCTGACATGCCCGGACTTGCCCGGGCTGGCCAGGCACAACTCTTCAATAGCTTCATGTCCAAAGACAATGGGTCCGTAGGATCCTAGCCGGCCCAATCAAAGGGCCAGCTTCTCAGCCGGGAGACCAATGGTCGCCCGGTTACTGTAAATAGCCTATCGGGAGTAGGGGGTGTGTTTAGGTGTACTTGGTGGCGGGTTTTCTGAACGTATATAAACCAGCCTGCGAGCTGGTCCCTTGTCTTTTGTTCCTGACTAAATAAAGGTATGCTTAGCTGCTATCACTCTCCGTCTGCATACTTTTCAGGACCAAGCTGAAACTTTCCAGTAATAGAATGGGCAGCATTTCTGGAAAAAAAAACACACACACACACAGTAGGAGGGATAGCCCAGGTTAGCCTGATCTTCTCAGATTTCGGAAGCTAAGCAGGATCAGCCATGGTTAGGACTTGGATGGGAGACCACCAAGGAAGTCCAGGGTTGCTACGCAGAGGAAGACAACCACCTCCCCACCACCACCACTAGCTAAGATTTGTCCACTTCTATTTTCAAAAAAGCCTATTTACTCTGCAAATGTATTTCTATTTTAAACTGCTTCAGATGCTTCTGGTTTCTCCCAAAGAACCTTGGGGACAATACTCTCGTGAAAGTGCTCAGAATTCTCAGAGGACTCTAGCCTGCCTTGACAGAGCTACCGTTTCCCAGGGTGCCATTACTGTAACACAGGGCTACCAACTCCAGGTTGTGAAATCCCTGGAGATTTGGGGGGGTGGAGCCTGAGGTGGGTGGGGCTTCGGGAAGGGAGGGACTTCAGTGGGGTACGATGTCCACCTTCCAAAGCGGCCATTTTCTCCAGGTGAACTGATCTCTGTTGCCTAGAGATCAGTTGTAATCAGTGTTCCATCTAAGCTGAGTTAGTGTGAGCTAGCTCACAGTCTTTTAGCCTCCAGCTCACACATTTTTGTCTCCGCTCAGGAAGGAGGGCTCCAGAGCAAACTAATTTATGCAGTAGCCAAATCGCTCGCTCACCACTTTAATGCCAGTAGCTCGCAAAGCAGAATTTTTGCTCACAAGACTCCACAGATTAGAGGGAGCCTTGGTTGTAATTGCTGGAGGCCTCCAGGCTGCCTGCAAACCAAAGAGAGAGACCACGGGATGGAAGTTGAAAGGAAGCAAACAACCGTGATGTATAGTGCCAAAGAAAAGGTTCTTCACAGATCTGTAAATTCTTTTTTCAGTATTCAGTTTACTGGAAGCCATCCAAACACCATCAACACCAACGAACCATGCATATTACATCTCGTTTCGTGTATATCTTTATTAGTTCTGTTCAGTTCACCTTTATTGGCATAAAATACTTTCAAAGGATTACTATAAAATGGAATATAGATTTAAAACCATATACAGCCAGACATATAAAACATAATATAGCATAAAACATTTACTCATTGGAAATTTACCTGACGTAGTTTTATCACTGATTGTAAAAACATGGCTACGTTCATTGATATTTCTGGATCAGAGTCATTTAGAAGACAGTGCAATTTTAAGGCATCAGAAAGGTTCGTCATGTTGTTTAGGATGGGATTTAAATATCTAGCACGTATCTTTATCAAGGTGGGTAGCATTGAAATACCTATATAATGTTAATCCATTTGGCAAACACTCTAGTCATATCTCATAGTCACATTCATCAAATCCATTAATGCTACCCACTTCGATAAAGATATACACGAAATGAGATGTAATATGCATGGTTCGTTGGTGTCGATGGCGTTTGAATGGCTTCCAGTAAACTGAATACTGAAAAAAAGAATTTACAAGTCTGTGAAGAACCTTTTTTTTTTGCACTATACGTCACGGTTGTTTGCTTCCTTTCAACCACCTGGAGGCTGGCTCCCCTAGCAATGATTTCATCAAGGATTTCCAAAGAGCCCGTCAGAACCTTCTGTTTTTGACCATCCCATAGCCAAAAGCTATTATTTCTTCCACACTTTCTAAAATCTCAGCTGGAATGTTCTGGAAATAACAGCAATTAGTGATACCAGAAGTTTCACTGCAAAGTATGGAAAGCACCCTGGCTCCCTACCTTCTGCCTCGATGGTCATCACATTCTTCCCCAGGTCAATCACGGGGTGTACAAGGCACAGTCTCGGTTCCTGCTTCTGCGTAATGCAGACTCCATTCTGATTCACAACCATCCAGCTCCGGTCATACAGCAAGCCTTGGTTCCCAACGGGCCACTGTGCAACCTGACATGGAGACAAGGAGAAAGAACGTGTTGAATCTCAACATAAAACAGGAGCTCGTTGGAACCTTAGAAGGTTAGAAGTACTGATTCCAGCAGAACTCACTTCATCAGATGCACTGTACCTCACGTATTCAATTGAGCTCTTTACTGAAGTGCATAGATCAGGGGTCTCCAGTAGGGTTGCCAGCCTCCAGGTGGGGCCTGGGGATCTCCCACTTTCACAACTGATCTCCAGCTGACAGAGATCAGCTCCCTTGGAGGAAATGGCTGCTTCGAAGGGGGGACTCTGTGGCATTGCACCATGCTGAGGCCCCTCCCCAAACCCCACCCCCTCCCGGATCCACCCCCAAAGTCTCCAGGTTTTTTCCAACCCAGGCCTGGCAACCCTATTATCCCCCAGCATGGTGCCCACAGAAACCACGGTGTCTGCCAAGTGTCATTGGAAAGTGGGCAGGGCCAGGTGGGGCTATGGGCCACTGCAGATTTGACTGGCTGTGCAGATTTTTAAAAGCGTTGCTTTGGCCGCAGCTGCCACCACAGTATGGTTGAAGGTAAGCTGTGGTGGCCATTTTGTGGCTGGCTCCCCGTCCCGTGGCAGCCATTTTGTGGCTGCTCTGACCACGCTGTGTCAGAATTCCAAAGGTTCCCACAGGCGTAAAAAGGTTGAGACAGATGCTGAACACAAAGGAAAGAGCAGTTCATTGCTGGAAAATGGTTCGTTGTCAAAATCATCTGAGAAGCGGGTAAACACTTTAAGCATCTATGTCAGGATTTCAAACGGAGGCTTTCATTAATAAATCAAAGCTAAAGCTCTCCTTATGACAAGCTGGCCAGGACAAGATGGGATAGTAACTCTCTGTTTCACTACAACCGTAAATCACATCCTTGTAAGCCCTTTCTTTTTAAACTGCACCTTTCACATTGATCCACATGGTGCCTTCTAGCAGAAAGAGAACCCTGGTTTAAACAGAATCTCAGTTTTCAAACCAATAAAAGCAGGAAGGAGGGAATGTGTTCCTGCACAGAAGATACTCAATGAACAATAGTTACAGAAGCGCAACTCTGTTTTTCATCATCGAGCTTCTGTGCAGTCCCACATGGGGATTCTAGCAAGCCACTCACAGGGGGTGGGGGGCAACTCGCCAGGACTCACTCGAAGAAAACTGAAGGACCACCCTTCCCACTCGAGCCGCTCTTCTTGCTCGCGGGTCAAGTGTGCAATGACTGATGAATCCGTCAACCAAGAACCACATCACTGCACTGCAGATTTCCACTAAAGGAATGCCATCCAGGAAGGCCACCGAAGAAGAGGCCTCTGGGCCCTTGTCAAAGTGCGCATGAATGTCCAACGGGCAAGGCAGCCCCACTTGGGCCTAACACATCTTGATGGTGGAGACATCTGGACAACAACCGGGGTGAGGCCCTTTTGCCCTCGTTGGGCCCCACATAGCACACAAAGGCGGCTACATCCCTTCTAAACTCCTTAGACCTTTGCAGATAAAATAAAGCCCTCCTCAAATCTAGAGCACGGAGTCTTCTTTCACTTTCTAAAGTGGGCAAAGGATAAAACACTGGTAGACAGTGTTCCCTCTAAGCTGAGTTAGAGTGAGCTAGCTCACAGTTTTTTATCCTCCAGCTCACACATTTTTGTCTCAGCTCAGGAAGGAGGGGCTCCAGAGCAAACTAATTAATGCAGCAGCCAAATCACTTGCTCACAACTTTAATGCCAGTAGCTCACAAAGTAGAATTTTTGCTCACGAGACTCCACAGCTTAGAGGGAACATTGCTGGTAGAGTCACCTCTTGGGACAGGTGAAATTTAGAAACCACCTTAGGTACAAAGGGAACACTGGGTCATTATTATGTACAGAGATCGAGGCAGCATTTCAACAAGTTATTTCTTTATCAGCTCATAACGCAGAGAACACAGAAGAGGCAACACACAGAACGATACAGTTTGAACCAGGAAAAGCACTCCCCCTGGAACAATAACGTCCAATCAAAGATAAGTGCTTAGAACCAATGGGAATTGTTCCCGCCGAATGTCAACTACTGTCCTGATTGGTCTGTCTCCCGACACCGACCAATCCTGTTGCAGATTTCAGGATACCAAGAGTCAATGGAGCTTGTGGCTGAAGCTCAGGCATTCTGCACTTACAAGTAACACAATACACAACAGTAGCCAGTCTGATCCTGAGAGCCCACAGAGTTTGCTCACCCCTATCTTCCAGTCTTTCTTTCCCAAGATCTTTACCTCCCTATATGTACTACCTTACCATCCCAAGTTACTGCAGAGCTATTTTGTTTGCAAGGGTGAACGTTATTCCTACGATGGTTTGACAGGGGAGATTTCTGAATAGGCCCTATTCTGACAGAATCAGCCCTTGCGGCCTTAACAGGATAGATTCATCCTTCCATGCCGTGCTTGAATGCAGGTTCTTTGAGAATATAAGGGATCGCTATCTTAAGCCTTTAATCGACCAACTGTCCCCCTACACTCTGGAAACCCCCTGGCTCTTTTGGTCAGCGATAAGGATCCTAAGTTTACTCTTAAGTTTACTCTAGCAACTGCAAAATTTGTCTCAGTCCTTTTAGCCCTTGCGTCAAAAAAAAGAAGAAGCAAATTTATCTTCTGCTGCTCAAGATCTGTGAAATCAGTGGGCTTCTAGGGGGATAAAAGGAAAGGAAAGAACCACCCCTTTCTCCAAAAATATTGAGCAAGGGGAGATCCACCCTGAGGGCAGCCAACTCACTAACTCATCTCCCTGAAGTGACGGTTAGCCAAAAGCAGACTTTTGTGGGCAACAAAGATGGCAAGGGGGTACAAAAGGCCTCAGCAATAACCTATACAGCACCACTGGAAGGGACCACTGGGGAGCTGTAACCAGCCGCCTGGGCCCCAAACCCGGGTGGTCTTTCCCGAGAGAGCGGCATGCCAAAAACAACTCTGAACCTCCACAAGCAGTGCCCTCATAAAGCCAAGTGAAGACTCTCCAGGCTGGCCGCACTGCCAAGCATCCTCCATGCAAGCAGCCCCCCCCCCCGCCCCCACATCCCTCCTGTCAGCTCCGTCCAAAAGGACTAAGAATGGGCAAGACTCTGCTCTGGCTTCAGGCACCTTCTACTGACCAGATGGCTGGTCTTCTGTCCGTCAAATGTGCAGGCAGGCAGGGACAAAAAGCCTCTGGTCTGTGCTACTGTCACAAATGAAGTATGTTTCTAGCCCCAACTTCTGTTTCACTTGTATGTCAGGAAATACCTTTCGAATCATCCTCTCATTCCTGTCTCCATGTAGTTGTCTAAGATATCTCCATTCTTACACCTATGCCAGACCTATCAAGGTAAACATTAGCTCTTCATGGCTAGTGAGTGGTCTCCCATTCAGGTCCATCCTGCGGCGCAAAAAGAAACATCATCTCTTTTGTCTGGCACCAGGGAAGCACCAGGCCACTCTATTGTTCCACAACGGACACTCCCAGCCCAACTGTCCAGCACCTGCCTTAATCCCATCAAGGCTACTGTGCAGCCAGACTCTGCCCCGCTCTGGAAACTCATTGGCCACACCTGAATTGCGCTCCACCTGGTACCACACCTCCATGGACTCCTTATTGGTCTAGAAAATCTATTGTTCTCACCTGAGACCAGGCCCCAAGGCCTCCCATTGGTCTGCATTGTTTTCCAATGTCTATATCTGTCAGAGCACATGGCCTCAGATTTTTTGTGTCTGCCCCTGATGCCAACTGGAAGTCCACCCCCAAACCCTTGGTCTGGGCCATAATCTCCCCTCCATGGACCCCTGCACAGCTGGACAGGTTGTATCACCCCATAATTGACCCCTCCATCTGCTATCAATCACCTCTGCTTTCTTAGTTCTGATTTGCTTGCTCTTTTTGAATGCTTAGCGTGCTTGTGATTAAGGAAATTCTTCAACAAAACCTATTTAATTTAATTTAATCTTCAAATCTGGAGTCTTCCTACTGTGCCAGACCTTGGTACACAAATGGTGTGCAGAGACCCTGTACCCCTCTGGTCTTCCCTGGCACAGAGCTAATTTCCCCAAACAACAAGGCAGGCCATTGGCAGTAACAGAACCATCAGAGTTCTAGTGGGCTACATGCTGAATAAGCCCTTTAGGAAGCGCTTAGAGAGCTTGTGAGAAAAAACTGCAACCTCATCTCCTCCTGAGTGATAACAGGAAATGGCCACTGAGTAAACCTTAATTGATCCTGGTCAAGGGCACGCTCCTGACCTCACATTAGGTGGAGAAATGTTTCAATTTCACTTTGGTTTAGTGGTTAAGTGCTCGGACTCTAATCTGGGAGAACCGGGTTTGATTCCCCACTCCTCCACTTGCACCTGCTGGATGACCTTGGGCAAGCCATAGTTCTGACAAGAGCTGTTCTTGAAAAAGAGCCGTTCCTGTCAGAGCTGTCTCAGCCCCACCTACCTCACAGGGTGTCTGTTGTGGGGAGGGGGAGGGAAAGGAGTTTGTAAGCCACTCTGAGACTCCCTTGGATAGTGAAGGGCGGGGTATAAATCCAATCTCCACCTTCTCCTCCTCCTCCTCCTCCTCCTCTTCTTCTTCTTCAGGAGGTAGGACCATCTGGTAGAAGGTTTGTGAGGATGCAGAAGAACTTTGTTAATCTCATCAGAAAGCTCTACCCTGGCAAGAACCCTCCAGGCTGCCAAATGAAGGCGGTCGCCATCGTGATAGCATAGGGATCCTACGCTCAGCAGAACTGGGTTGATGGGCAGACAAATATATTATCCCCCCGCCAGGTCCATCAAGATGGAGAACCAAAACTGGCAGGGCCAGATGCAAACAGTGCCCTCTCTCTGGATCTTCCCCAGGACCCTGGTGAGTAGGGGGAAGGGGGGTAAAGGCATAGAAGAAGGTGCCTTGCTAGGGAATCTGGAAGGCATCCCCGAGCAATGCTGGGTAACCCCCACCAGAGAGCAGAAGGTTGGGGCTTTCGTACTGTCCCTGGTCCCAGGGTACCCA